AAATTATACCAATCAAACACACTTGAAATCATTTTCCCTGCAAAACATTTTCTAGGCAAACCTTTTCCCTGTAAAACATTTTCTTTCCACCCATTTTCCACCCTTGCAATCAAACGCACCCTAAGAGACATACATGGGACCCATGTAGTTAATGGGTGTTACTGTTTCTGTTCTTCGCGTTGAAGCAAATTTATGGGTTGTTTGAGCCCCAATTGTTTCTAAAAACTCATTTTTTTTTCAACTACATATTTTTTAATAAAATAATATTACACGTAAATTCAAAATTTTTTCTTAATTTTTAACCACGTATTCTCCTTCAATCTACAATTCTAAAATACATTATTTCCCTAGAATGAGACTCGAACAAGGACTTAATGTTACAGATTTAATCACAGGATTATGTTATGCGACAATAGTCAATCTCGTAATTAATACAAGAATCGACTAAAGATATGTTACGTCAGCTAATATATTGAATAATGTTATTTGCAATTGCTCGTTATCATAGTCGTCCTACATGGAATACATATATCAAATCATTAACTCTCACATGTATGCCACGTAGGGCGAGCAACTACATATATCATTACTTCTAATATATTAAGCTCCTGTTTGGTGGAAATTAAAATTAGACGTTTAGTAAGTTTTGATGAAAGTTGATGAAATATGTGGTCGAAAAAAACACTTTAAGTACTTTATGCAATATAAAATTAATTGTTGATTTTGATTTAAATTAAAATTAACATTTTAATTCGAACAAAACAGGAGCTAAATATTGCTGAAGACATTAATTTTTTTTATTAAAAAAATTACGTGTAACTTGATATTTTTTATTTTATTTGATGTGTAAATCATATAAAATTATGTTGTAGTTGTATGAGTTGGATCCACGTCAGATAGTTCAATAGGTTATCAGTATCAGATTTCCAAATATTTTAGTACAAAATTGCATTACTGCGTGCTTGCAAAAAATAAAAATAAAAAGGGATTCAAACAAGGATTAATCTATGTGTACATATATGTACACATANGGACGTTTTATGCTAATAAGCCTTTGTCAAAAGTTGCATCTAGGTCTCCGACCTATCAAATTCGTTCTAATTGTTTAAAAGTCAAAATTTGTATCAAAGTGACTTGGGGCAAAAATAAAGGAGAAAACTAAACACAAAAGAACAGAACCACCACCTACTGCCTAAAGCTTATGAATAATGCTACTTACAATCGCTCACTGCAGCAGTCGCCCTATATGGCACACACATGTCAAGTGTATATATGTTGCATTAAATGTGGTCAAAAACTACCACATTAATGTATCAAATAACTACATGTCATGTGTATGCCACATAGGACGACTGTTTCAGTGAGCGACTGCAAGTAGCATTACTCAAAGCTTATAATTATCGACCCCATAGCAAGTCAATCCCAAAATTTTCATCATTATTTTTTGATCATACCCAAAAGCTAAAAATAATCATTTCAAAACTCGAAAGTATATGACTAAGTATAGAGCAGATTGTGAACGAAAGCTATAGATTATTTGTTTTGATTCTTTTGAATTAGTAGAATATTTTTTCTTTTTTGACTGCATTTTCTTTAATTTTATTAATTGAATAAAGCGTGCAATAGTCTTCGAAGACAAATCTTGACCTTTTTAATAGTTAAATGGACAATTTTCATTAAATCTGGATCGCTCTGGCACAATTTTGAAATTTGAGGATCTAAATGCCACGATTTCATAGATTGGGGATTCAAATGCAACTATCGGTGTTGTTTGCTGGCCGTGCAAGGCACTACCATAATGGATCTACTTTATGTCATTTTCTTTAAGAGACATACATGGGACCATGTAGTTAATGGGTGTTACTGTTTCTGTTCTTCGCGTTGAAGCAAATTTATGGGTTGTTTGAGCCCCAATTGTTTCTAAAAATTCATTTTTTTTTCAACTACATATTTTTTAATAAAATAATATTACACGTAAATTCAAATTTTTTTCCTAATTTTTAACCACGTATTCTCCATCAATCTACAATTCTAAAATACATTATTTCCCTAGAATGAGACTCGAACAAGGACTTAATGTTACAGATTTAATCACAGGATTATGTTATGCGACAATAGTAATACAAGAATCGACTAAAGATATGTTACGTAAAATCATGCAGTCAATATTGGAAAAGTACATCCGCTAATATATTGAATAATGTTATTTACAATTGCTCGTTATCGTAGTCGTCCTACATGGCATACATATACAAAATTACTAACTGTCACATGTATGTCACGTAGGACGAGCGATTACATATAACATTACTTCTAATATATTAAGCTCCTGTTTGGTAGAGATTAAAATTAGACGTTTAGTAAGTTTTGATGAAATATGTGGTCGAAAAGTTGTGAAATTCATGAAATACGTTAT